CCATTGGATCGCAGAGAGACACGGGATTAACTGCGGCCAGGTGGTCCAACATGTCTGCGCCCTGATCCGATGTCACACCAAAAGCGGTAATTTGGGTATTCTAGAACCGAGAATGACGTCCCCTGTTGCGGGCTCTACGGTACGTTTCTTCTATTGTTTGTCAGTTCTTTTTTATTAGATTTTTTAGTTGCTTACATAATCAGCCTGTTTACAGTTATTGAGCCCTCCATTATTTCTTGTCTTGTCATTAAATTTTTCTGTACTGTAAATTGTCTCTCACCCATTGTTTGAGTTATAACTTTGGACGTGTTCCTTCAAGTTAGAAATCTCGTATTTAGTCATGTTTGCTTAGATACATGGTAAAATTTAACCGGTTCGTTGAAAGTATTGGTTACCATTTTGATTTTCAAATATTTTTCGCTTTTATTTGTCGTTATTATTCTTGAAGGGCACGTTGTTGGCTGTTAGAGTTTTATAATAGATCTGGATATGATATTGAGTCCAAAAATTCAAACATCGTTTGTGGAGAATCTTGACCATTTTTATACGCGAATGTTTTTTTTTAGAAAAATTGGTGCTATTTGGGACCGCAGTAATTGTTTAATGAGTTTACTCTTTCTTTCCGGAATTATCTTTTTTTTGACCATATATCGTTCCGTCATTTAATTCCAATTTCCCTTGTATTTACCTATTCGCGGTTAATTGGCTTGGATTTTTGAGTAGCTTTCTTCTATTCAAACCAAAATACTGCCGCTACTGTATCAATACGGAACTCATTAGCTTTTTTCGAACCTCCATTGCTTAATTTTCTGTACTCTTTCGATTAGTTTTAAGCTTTGTGAGGGTTATTTTATTGTGTTTTTGTGCATGATGAGTTTTGCTGACAGGTTATATTTCATTTTAAATTTATTTTCACAAACGATAGCAGAATGTGGTGGACCAAATTCTTCAGGTATTTCCAGACTCGTATCGCAACTTTCCGCTTGTTGCTCGTAAAGCAGCCTGTCATTGGCCTGCTCTACAGAAATGGACTCCAGACTATTTGGCCGAAAAAGTTAGGGGAAAGCTGAAATTCCGAATGGGTCGTAAGACTTTGGGGTCTACTCCTCCTCAGTGGGAATGCGACGCTGAATACGTTTTAGCCAGTATTGCTGACTTGTTCACTTGGTGTCGTGGTAGTAACAGTCTGCCTTTTGCTAAATACCCTTTTGGGGACTGGTGGGCCTACGCCTCTTACCTACACATGTCAGCAACACCTGCGCTATCTGAGATCCAAGAAGACGTTCCCTGGGAATCATTATTCCCTTGTTTGTCGAATTCCAGCCAATCAACCTTCTGGCTTGGGACAGATCAGTCCCACACTCCATGTCATTACGATACGTATGGAATAAATTTCGTCCTCCAAGTCCGCGGGAAAAAACGCTGGACACTGTTCCCACCATCTGATACACCCTTTTTGTATCCCACGCGCCTTCCATTGGAAGAATCTACCGTATTTAGCCGCATAAACTTCGTGTGTCCAAATTTCATCCAGTACCCTCTTCTTCTTAATACACATCCACGAGTAATTGTTCTTGAGCCCGGAGATGTCTTGTTCGTTCCTCGCCACTGGTGGCACTTTGTTGAGACAATTGACGGTGACACATCTTGTGCCATCAATGTGTGGCTTGATCAGCCCATGATTGATAATAAAGTTCGATGCAAGGAAGCTCTTACTCAAATCGCCTGCTTTTCGCTTGCCAAGTGTGCTCCCAGCACTAGCAACATCCTTAGTCGTTTGCATTCTACGGAGAGGGCTTTTGCTGGTTCACAAAATTGGTTTACCTGTTTGGTAGATTGTATTAATACCAGTAGATCTACCACCCATCCACATTCCTATCCCCTTCCTGTTACGTTAGAGCCATCACATAACTGGGAGATTGTATCTGAAACGGACATCGTTGAAATACTCCCTGGTTCCGACAAATTAGTTCTCCCGCCCAAGGATTCTATGGTCAGTGTAGAAAATATAGTGGCTGCTTTCCTCCACCCCGATGTCATAGATCTTGTGTATTCAAAACTTTGTGAATAAAAACACCTCCTTTAAAAGCTCATCAAGGTTTTTCCCTTCGTTTTTTTCTAAAATGAATAATGACAACTTCAATGTTATTTTTTAGCCCTCGGTGATCACTTCTCCCCTAAATTGTGAGAACAAAAAAGGTGATCCTGTGGTCCTTCGATGCAAATCCCTGAGCGGTCAATATGTTCTTGAACTATCTAGTGTGTCTACAGTTGAAGAGCTAGCGACAAAAGTCGTTGCGTATACCGGGATCGAACGCGATGCTCTTAGTCTTCGGTTTGGCTTTCCACCAAAACGGATCGACTTGAGTCCTGAGGGAGCCAAATTAACCCTGTCTGAGGTTAGTTTAACATGTTTTTTGTCCTCGTTTTAGTGTTTTCGATAAACTACATTTCACTCATAAAATTGCACCTTGCAAGATTTATTATTTTAGTCTTGATTTATGTGTTGTTTTTATTCACGCATTTTGGACAGTTCTGTTCTGCTGTTGAATGTACAGTGCTTGTCGCAGTCCTGTAAAGGAAAAACCCTCAGTCCTGTTGAACACCGTTCAACTTTTGATGCAGAAAAATTTTCTTGGAGCTGCAAAGGAAAATTTTCCAAAAAAAGGTTTGGACAAAAGTTGCCGATTGCCGCTGCCTTTTTTGTCCGAATCGATTGATGGACTACACCTAAAAGTTGATAACATCCCAGGCTTAATCAAGTTATTCGAGCAAATGGGAGTCTGTAAAGCTATCCGTATCCAATTAAATTATACATCCGAACCAACTTCGTATAGAAATCTCGAAGCACAGTTTAAATGAGTTAAGGTAGTCAACAGAATACAAAGGAAAAGAGAAAAACTTCGCTTCGGTGATTTGTTAAGGTCCGTGGGAGAACGTGTTGACATCGCATGCTCCAAGTTTGATGAAATAGCTGTTAACTGAACGTGCCAGCAACCAAGACGTCAACTAAGAGTGCACGCATGGAAAATTAGCATTGTTCGCCCATGTGATCGTTAAGTTTTTTCTTGCTGCCTCCTCTGCGGAATAAGGTTACTACACAGATGGATGTACAATCTTCCTTTCTTATGGCCCGAAGAAATAATTTTTAGTGGTTCAGGGGGCAGAGCTTTGTCAACCCTCTATGAAGGCCAATCATGTTGCTGATAGTCGTGATCAATTCCAAACCAAAAATCGCGAATGGTTACATGGTTAAATGTCTAATGTTAAAGAAGTAATGAGCAGAAAAATGAATCAGATCTGTCCAACCATCAAGACTCGACCGTCTAGAGTCTCAAATGAAGAAAAAGGAATCGGAATTGCTTTCTTCGCACGATGCAGATTTTGAATCTTGGGAGGGGAAGAGTTGTTTAAGAAAGTAGCTTTTAAGGAAATCAGACGAGCCTAATGTCCATTCTGGCGTTTCTGTCAACGCAGGTATCTTCGACCCAGAGAAAAACGTGGAGGAGTTTCGTCAGCAAAACTCGTCCATTGGGGCTCTTGAAATGATGCCTCCAACCATCCGCAGCACACCTCAGCTGGTACACGAAGACACTCGCAAAAACAAGCAATAAAGGGAGGCGGTTATGTCGATTGCAGTTCACAGTTGCTTCTGGGTGTTGATGTTTTCCCCAGGTGGTAAATCGCATCGACAGTGCGATGTGCCTCTACTTCGAGGAACTCTGACACCACTGATTCCGTGTAGAAAAATAAACATACCAATCTGTGTCTCAGGTATTTTGGTAAACACCTTCAACTACTGGACGAATTCTTGAAGGTTGCTCTGAAAAAAAGAGGAACACTGAAAAGGCCAGACGAAAATATTGGCGTTCTGTTGATTCGTTGGTATAAGACCAGCAAGTGGAAGCATAAAAGGGAAAATCGGAAAGAGTTGTATGTTCAAGTTGTCGAAAATCTATCCCTCACTCCGTTTAAATCTGAACCTTTTTCCTCTCTTGTTTCATCAAATTCTCACTTTTTTCTCTCTTTACTATTTGCCGATACCCCAATTTGTTGGAGGTATGCGTTCCCTTAGTTCTGATTCTTATTGAGCACCGCTTGCAATTTGTCTGATGGACAAGCGGTACTAATGATGGACGCTCTTTGATTTGGCTTACAGCGGCTAATACCTCTAAGTTGTTGAACGTTCCGAGTCGTCTATTGTTCTTGACGGCTTTGGCACGCCAAGTTTGCTGTTAACTGTATTATTTACGCATCTACTCGTTTTTTCACTAAAGCTAACCCTTTTGCTCAACTTTGTTCATTTTCAGTATGGCGTATATAGAAATTCCTATCCTCAACCAATCAATTATCATTGCAGGACATGTCATTGATATTTTAGGTGAACTCATTAACAACTACTCTTAGTATTGCTTGTGACGTATGTAATATATCCTTGATTTCTTACGCGGTAAGGTGCTATGATGAGGCATAGAAATTTCGCCGTTGCTTAGTGTCCTTAGTAGAGTTCGGTTGTTTTAGTTCACTGGCAGTTTATGAAATTAATTTTAACCTTGAAATTGCTTGTGGCTTTCTGTTTGCTACATTAGTTTGAGTTAATCATCGTTCTGGGTACATATGTAAATCTCGCATCTCAATTGATGGCGACAGCAGGGTGTAATTTTCCTATTTGATTTAGGTAGTATTCAGGTGTGTTTTCGGATATTAGGTTTTGTCTAGCATCTGCTGTTGGCTTCACTAATCATCGTATCTGCAAGAAGAAAGGCCGATCAACCCAGCTGTTATCGTCAGTAGCTCCCCGCAGTCTGTGACCCTGATGTGTTCATCCTCTCTGCAAGGCCCCGCATAATGACGCTTGTTAGCCAACGCACTTTTCACGCGTGCCGGTAACAAAAGCTTCGTATTATTTTGCCTCGTCTAGTTAAAAATAAGTTCCGGTGACTGCATAACGGCAGACGGAGCTGTATCAACGGAAACTCCACAAACCCAGACAACTAGTAGTCAGGCGCTCCATTCTAGGCTAGTTCGGAAGGTGGCTCCCTCGGATAACTGCTGCCTTTTTACCAGTGTCAACTTTTGCGTCAGCAATCGCGACTCCTCCCGATCCATCGAGGCGCCGGTTGTGACTGATGCCGACGAGGTGCAGGAGACGCGTATGCTGATCGCCAATATTGTGCTAAGTGATCCAGCTACTTTCAATGAAGGCATTCTTGGAATGCCTGTCGAGAACTATATCCACGGCATCATTCAGGTACGTATGTAGCTTACTTAGCATTTTCGCTGGCATATCACATTGACATCATTCAGAATCTGGTCACGAAATCAAAGTGTGTCTGTGATGTATTCCACTCCAGCCTATCAAGCCCTCTTGTGCACAGTCCCTGAAGCCCGTTGAACTTCAACGCTAGTCGCAAAATGTATTAAAAAACTGGCGATTTAACGCAGACATTAGTCGTCGTGGTTCCCAAATTGAAATGGCATCACAGTGGCACTGTAGTCAAATAACAAACTATTTTAATGAAAGTGCATCTTGCTTTCTAGGATTTATTTGTAACGGAGTTCTTATTGGCATTTTATTCCCGTCATTTGTTTGGCATTATCAGTTATAATGTTTTTCTAGGCGAAACTGTGCTCGGTATTTAACGAGGGGCAACAAACTCGTTGCCTCATACTCGGCCATTGGTATAAGTTTAATAGGGTAGCCTAGAGAATTCCACCGCCCCTCAACATCTGCTGACCTGTTTGTGTTGTGTGGGTTTTTACTACGGGATATGCATATTTAATCAGCCTCATCGTTGGGGTGGAGGAATCGAGGTCTCCATCTTGTCAGCGGTGCACGAAGTTGAGATCGACGTTGTTGATGTGCTCACAGGCCGCATCGATAGATTTGGGGAAGACAAATCTTACTCCCATCGTATCTTACTTCTCTACGATGGAATTCACTATGATCCACTTGCTGCGGAACACACAGATACTGGAACTTTGCAGACTATCTTTTCAACTTCCCAGGATTCTGTGAGTATTTACAGTCGTTTAACGTGTTCTTTAAATTAAATAAGCAAGTTGGGCGATTCTCTTATCCTTACTGTCCAGTTCCCAAATACCAAAACACTAGTGATTCAAATTTACGTTTCGTTCAGTGATCTAAACTGGTGAATGTCGTTTGGTGTAAGATGCATCGAGTTATTATCATTCGGAGTTAGCTGTTTTGTACCTTAGGTAGCCTTAAGTGCAAACCCAACTGGTAAGATGATTCCTTATCGAATAGTATTAGTTCAAGCTTCGATGGCAAACACTTATTAGACAAGTGTTATGAGTTACGACTCTCAGCGCTGTTACCTGTTGCTATTTCCTAAAACTGGACAATTTGTTTCACGCACTCAAATTTTGCCATTTTTCATAAAACTTGCCAAGGTCTGACAATGTGTAATTTAGTTTCAATATATTATGTAGTTTACTCCGCTTCTCACCAGGACAATGCAATTACTACTTACAAAATGGCCCACAGTTAGTTCCTAGTTCCGAGTTTGATGAGACTCGCAACGTACTAACGTAGCCCACACATACGTAGTACCTCGAGTGCTAGCACTGCTATCCGAACTTGCATGTGGACAACTAAGCATTGTAGGTAATGACTCCTTTAATTCGAAAATTGTGCTCGTCGATCCGACAGGTTCACGTGCCAATGCCTTCGCTCAGACTTGCCCTCATCGAAACCAAGCTGCTTTACTGCCGTTTTCACTGAAATACCCGCATGGTCGTTGGTGTTCACGTGTCACCTATATTCTTACTTTTAGTTATCTTGTTACCCTGTTTAGGTACTTGTTGAGGCGCAAGTCCTAGCAAACGACGTAAAGCGCGCCGGTCAGTTTACCGACCTGACTAATTGCAATCTGATGTGCTCAATTTGCCGGAGCCCACTGAGAGGCCAGCAGGGCGCTCAACAACACGCCAAGTCGACAGGTCACACTCAGTTCCAAGAGCGCTCACGTTTCTAGTGCCCGGTCTCCTCCACACCAACCGCCGCCCTGTTATGTTCGTCTTTCACGTGTCCTGCACCACAATCGCTACATCGTGTTTTTCGTTTTGCCCCTGAATCGCCAGTGCCCAATGTAGTCGGAATAGTACTTCCGTCTTTTGTATTTTACGTTTCAGTGACGGACATGTTATTTTCCCCATGTGTCCACCGAAGTTGTTATGAGTGAAGTGTCAAAGAAGATTCCGCGCCTGAACTCTTTCACGTCTTCCCAGGTTTGTAAGTGGGCTTCATGTATGGAGTACAAGTCGTGATTCTGCTCTACAGGCGAGCCTCGCACCACAACTTCCCTGTGCCTTAAATCACGCGCTAAAATAAATGCGTTTTCCTTTTGCTGTTGAACTAACTAACTTAACGAAACTGTCAAGTGGCTTCTCAGTTGTGTCACGCGACCGCCTGCACAACTTGAAATGCCTAGGAAAGTGGGGGCGAATGTGGAACTGCGACGATGCCTCGGCTTCCTCTGGATAAACACACTGTTTGCGCGCTACCAATCTTGGGATAAATTTAGGCCAAAGGAAAGGAATGAGGCATCTCAGCTCAAGGTTATCCACACTAGACTGAGGACGCCCGATTTGGGAATCGCGCATATGCGTTTTCGCCTGAGTGGTTTGAGGGCGGTATTTTTCGGTGTGTTTGGGTGTCCTACGTCAGTCGAGGCAACCAATGACGTCGCAGTGCTTTCAGACATGTTCGACTAAATATCTATGGAATGAACCGTTGCTTTGGTCACAATGACATTTGGTCCTACTTGCTGGCCTCATATTCGCAAATATTACACCAGTGTTAATGTTTTTGTCCACAGCTCATTTAGTTACTGCCAATTTGGTTGATTATACTAACAAATCTGCACAAACTAATGCTCACAACGACGCGAACTAAGGACCTGTAAATCAACATTGAGCCGTCATTTACTAGTCGAGAACTGCTTGCAGCCTAAAGCCGCCAAAGATACTCCGCGATGGATCAGTAGATCAAATTCCAAGAATTGCGAAATGAATTGACCAGAACATTATGCAAACCTGTAGAAGACCGTAACTAACTAAGACGACCGCTGAGAACGTAATAGCAAGAACAATTATTAAAGTAGGACGCATACCTAGCTGTTCGTCGAAGAGTTCTTGGCATAGGCAGAAGATAAAGAAAGATGTCTTTTCATTAAAGCGCTCATACTTGTTTTGTTCGTTGGGTTGACAGGTCGTTTCCAGAACCACAAATAAACTCTCAAAGCCCTTCTTTTGGATAAAATGCTTTTGAGAAAATGCACAACTTCGAACCAGCGCTAAAAGAAAGAAGCCACGGCAAATTGTAAAAAATTAAGTCAACTTCAATCAATGAGTGGAGCAAGTGTAAGCGGTCTTTTATCAATTAGGCATTGTATGCAACATAACTAAAATAAATCTTTTAGACGTAGCAAATTATTGTGAGGCTCGTCATTTGGACGTACGCGGACAACGAGCAAAAGTAGCGTTAACAATTTGATTACCTCCCATGTCATAGACTGTGGACTTTCATGCCAGTGAAGCAATCCACACGAACCAATTGATTTAAAGTGATAAATGAGATTGGCAATCGTAGTACTTTATAGTCTTAACTCGAATTCTTCTTTAATCGACTTCACTTCCCATTCCTGTTTGCTTGGCAGAACAACTTACTGTAAATACGTGTTCTCCAGTTGTTCAAAGTTATTTATTCGTGTCTGCCAATAATAAGGCAGGATTTACTGTCCAAAACAGAAAGGCATAACAGAGGGATAGCTAACAAGAAATTTAGTAAAGTTGACACGGGTAAAATCCGTTCACAGTAACTGCTTCAACTGACTAACCATCCATCTGGTAGTTGATCATTTAATTGACAGAATGGATGCTAGTGAATGTAATAACTGCGTGGTTACTTCTGCCACCAAAACTGTTTAAATCTCAAAGGTTCTCATGCAACACGTGTTGAGAAGCTTGACAATGTTCATGAATGTATAGTGTCACATGTTGATGTAAGGCACTAGACGTCTAACTAGTGGAATTGCGCAAACTTACAAAAAAATTAAATGAGCATGAAACTTTTTATCCTAAACGCCATCATGAATGACAGCATCAATGAAAAAGCTACCAGACAACTCATTACAGCGTAATTTGCAATACATGGTACACGTAATCGCATTAAACAACGGTAAAAAAGCTTTGAAGAAATGAAAGATCCTTTAACGTTATACCGTAGTGATACGAATTATTCTAATTCAAACTTCGCCTAGCCTGGAGAAATAAAATGAGGGCAGACCTAAGTTTGGCTCTACACAGAGCATCAAATATAAAATTTTGCCTGATTCAAAAGCTTTCAGATCGGTCTGCCACGGAAACCACACGAACCACTTTCAAAGACGCGCCAAGTTCAAATCCAAAAAAGGGTCCTACTTACACGAAATTCCCGAAAGCAATCCACTCATGTTAGTTGGATCCCGTTCTTTCAAAAGTAGCTGCATGGAGATTTCCAGAAAACCCTCATTTATTGCCACTTTCTGGGCCTCTTCGTGGTTTTGTACAATATTGGAGAGAAGCATTCCAGTCTGTGCGGAGAAAACATTAGTAGGAAGGTTGAACAAGGCTTTGAGAAGCTCAAGCCCGCCTATCTTCAGAAAAATATCCGCTAAGTTCATGTCCTCTGTGAAGTCAATAAGATCATCCAGAGCCGAGGCGGTATCCTCCATTACACCGTCGAAATCAGAAGAAGAGATGTTTTGAATGATGGTAACAATCCTCTTCCGCATCTCAGAAGCCAAATCGACAGTCATTGATTCTAGCGCTTCCCGAAGCCACTTGGCCCTCTAGATGTCAAAATGAAACTCGTAGGCAAAGAATGCAGCTAAAAAAGTTGAAACGACGATAATTACCTGTGGATCCATAGGCTCCATCTCGCTGGAAAACTCCGAACCAGCCTCCATACAGAACCGCAGTAGGCCTTTGAGATTATTTGGAACTGTGCACATTATCTATACCAAAAGATTAAATATTAATAGGGTTATATGGTCAATCACGAAAAAAACTTGGTTTAGATTTTTATTGTTGGACTTTAATTGTCGTTTCTGTCACGATGTTTTATAAACCAATAGGTATGCACAAATGTTAGGTGTGGTAATTTGGCAGGATATGTGAAAGGGGAGCTTTCACCTAAAATAGGTTTGATGAAAATGGACGATAACTTAGATGGTGTGGAAAAATGCTGCGCGTTCGGGTGCAAAAAAGACCTTGAATCATAATCCGGAAGACATTTTTGCAGCTGTAAGTGGCCGAAATAGGCTAAGAGCCATTGGCAAGCAAATATTTGTAAATTTATGCAAAAATTCGACTTAGAATGAAGAATTGCAAGAAATTACAAAAAAGTTAAAAAAAACTTTGAAGCTTAAACTGTATTTCGGCACTTTATATTGCGATATCATTCATTTAACAGGTACTATATATTTTGTGCCTGCTTACCACACCGGACGATAGCAGATTTTCGCTGGTACCAATGAGGAACGGGTTAAAAAGTAGCCTAAACTGGAGCACAACATCTAACTTGGTAGATTTAATCAACCCCTGAGACTATTAAACTACAAAAAAATGTGCATGTATTCAAAGTGTAACACAAAATCATAAAAATGAAACAGCTTAATGCCGAGCTAATAATCTGAAAGTGGTGTTAGGAGAGTAACCAAGGTAGTAGCGATATGGCAAATGAGGGAGGAGGGAAAAGGGATGAATGGATACACGAAACTACATTCAGTCTGCAAGGAAATCGAAGACAATATTGACTGCCATTAAAGTCAAAAAATTAGTACACAACTATCAAACATATAGAATGAAGACAATTCTAACAAAAAACTGCTACAGGGCAGATCATTAGTCAGATTACAAAAGAAAACCAAAAAAGTAAATTATAAGGGGTTAAACAGTCCAATCACGCTGACAGTAAAGTATGACACGTTAGCGAGCGGCAGATGTGCAAACCTAGATAGAGACGACTGTGCAGCTTGAGCCTAAGCGTATCTAAATATCAGAACATAGTGATGCGCCTAGATTGTGAACAATAACTTCACGAAGGAAAAATGGATCGCATACAAGACCATATAGTAAGACCGTTTTTTGTCACAACGCAGGAAGTTATAAATTCACGTAGCCAAGCTTATTACACATCTCGAAAACGAAGCACATGCACGTAAACCAAATACGAGCCAAAAAACACCATCAACGAAAATTGGGGCAAGTACATGGGTTAAACGAGCTGGAATGAGTACCGGAAAATACTAAGATGTGGTGTAGTGTAATGTGGTGTGGGGTGGTGTGGTGTGGCGTCGGATCGGGGCGCAGACATGTTGGACCACCTGGCCGCAGCCAATCCCGTGTCTCTCTGCGATCCAATGGCATGCGGGAAAGGAAGGCAGCCAACCAGAGAAGGACACGACTGAGGTGCAGTATATAATGAGCGGCGTGGCCAGCGTAGTGGACTCGGATGGAAGGCGCCTGACTTGTGGTTCTGGCTTGTGATTGGTCGATAAAGCCTGTTGTGTTGTACCGGACTTTTTCCTATGAGGGCTCGGGTATTCTACAGTGGCGTCGGATTAGGGCGCAGACATATTGGACCACCTGGCCTCAGTCAATCCTGTGTCCCTCTTCGTTCCAATGGCATGCGAGGAAGATAAGCAGCCAATCAGAGAAGTACATGACTGAAGTGCAGTATATAATGTGCGGCGTGGCCAGCATCGTGGACCCGGATGGAAGGCGCTTGACACGTGGCTCTAGCTTCTGATTGGTCAATAAAGCCTGTTCTGTTGTACCGGTCTTTTTCCTATTAGGGCTCGGGGATTCTACACTAGTGTGGTGTGGCGACGGAATAGGGCCGAGACATGTTGGACCACCTGGCCGCAGCCAATCTTGTGTCTGTGTTCGAATGGCATGCGAGGAGGATAAGCAGCCAACCAGAGAAGGACACAACTGAGGTGCAGTATATAATGAACTGCGTGGCCAGAGTGACGGATTCGGATGGAAGGCGCCTGACGCGTGGCTCTGGCTTTTGATTGGTCAATAAAGCCTGTTCTGTTGTACCGGTATTTTTCATATTGGGGCTCGGGTATTCTACATTGGCGGCAGCGGATGCGTTCAATTAATGCAAATCGAACCCCAGCCCTTTCTCTTCTATGGTCAACACAGGCGAAGACCCTTGAATGCCAGCTGAAATTGTCATGGCGGTCATCCGATATCCCATACACTGGACCCATAGACATTGTCCGGGATTAGGACTACTGCATCTGAAGAGGCATTGGCAACTCAGCGACGACGACTTGGACAGTAGTATCCAGCTGGACTGCAACTGCGAATGGATCTACGATGGATAAACTGTCTTTCCTGCAAGTCCACAAGAGCAAAGTTCCTCGCCAACTATTGGCATGTGCCACTAACCTGCCAGATGTGGGGTGTCGGGTAGTGTCGAACCTTGAACAGTGCGATGAACCAAGCCAGAAGCTGAGGACAGCTTCACTCCTGAGGAGGAGGCAGTGTGGCAACGGATCAGGGCATATTGGATCACCTGGATCAGCCAATCCTGTGTCTGTCTGAGTTTCACTGGCATGCGAGGAAGATAAGTAGCCAACAGAAGAAGGACACGACTGAGGAGCAGTGTATAATGGGCGGCGTAGTCAGCGTGGTTAACTGCGATTCTACAAGAGAAAAGTTCCTTGTCTATTATGAAGTTGGGCCAATAACCTGTCAGATGTGGGCTATCGGAATGTAAAACTGGATATTTTAACAATCATCAACAGTACGGGTAACCAAGCCAGAAGCTGAGGACAGATTTACCCCTGAAGGGGATGCAGTGTGGTGTAGCATGATGGCAGATTGCCGCCATCTCGGCGATCAGTCACTGGTCGAAGTTAATCAGCGCGGCGTTGAGGCGACTTCATGTAACTGTGGGTGCAACTTCTGGCTGCGTGGCTTCACGCCGGCATTGAATGACGCGCCGGTTACTGAGAGCCAATCGGCTCACGGGCTTATCGTCTCCATTTCTGTGCCGCGGAATGGACCAGGACAAGGATATAGAAGGACTGTTTTTCTCCTTACACCCGACCAGTTCATGACCAGATTAAGGCGTATTTCAGCATTTATTATACGACTACATTTTGTATGGCTCTCTTCTTGACCATGCCATGGGACCGAAAGTGCAACTGGTGGCTGCGGAACCGCCTCAAACACGGACACGGGCCCATTTAGTGGCCATGTGAGATGGAAACGAGGCAATTTTCGGTCTCAACCGGCTGAATTTAATCTTGATGACGACATAGAGGCATGGGTCGTGATAATGTTGGAGTTCTTAGAGTATGATTAGCCTGCTTCTAGATTGCGCAAATTCATGCGATACCAGGACCCTCCTGCCAGGCGTATTGCAGCTATGTCAGGCTGCACTAGGGATCGGCCGTATGAACAACTGCTGGATAAATTATCCCAGTTGTTCGCGAAGAAGCCTGAACGCAGTCAGCAGAAACTCACGCGTCGATGCTACCGGGCAGGAGAGCTGGTAATTGACTTCATGGCTGATGCGTATGATCTGGTCCGAAGGAGCTACCCAGGCATCTCACCCGAGAACCTAACGGTAGCCTTCGTTCTCACAGAACTACCAGCTGAGATAGCCTGCAGCACGCAGGACTCTTGCCTTAGTCAATTGCAGAGGCGGAGAGGGTCCTCTCGGCGGAATTCGACCTGAGGAATAACGCTCTGTTCTCCGTCTCAGATCAACCACGTCAAGCCCAACAGTGGCGACCGAGGACAAACAGATTCCCAGGGCCGCGATTCAGAGGATCCGGTAGACAATGGACTCATTAATCTCGTGGTGGAGAAGGTTCTAAGTAGCGTCCAGGTGTGTCAGTTCCTTGCTTTGCAGTTCGTGCGTCGTGTGCTGATACCCGACCCTTCTTATCCATAAGTCTGTGCAATAGGTTAATGCACTTATAGTCGATACGGGTGTCGGATGCTCCTTGTTTAACTCGTGACGGTTCTCTCAGAAAACGTTTGAACCATACCTGGTGGAGTCGTCAGTTAAAGTTAAGGCCGCGAACGGTACTGTGATGCGTTGTTAGGGGTGTGTTGATGTCTCACTCACTAATGCGGGTGGTCTCTGGCAGCATTCCTTATATTTATGCCAGGATATACCATACGATGGTATATTGAGGTCAGACCTTTTCAACAGGTACGCGGGCGAATCCAGTCGTCCACAGCGTTGCTTACGCCTAGGGTCTCATGAAGTACCCGTAGTTTGTGGACAGAGTAACGGTGCTGTATCGGTGATCACGACTCAGGCACACCCGACCCCAGACGAACTAGACCGACTGGTAAGCACACAAGCACACAATGAGGGGCTCGATCTCTCACGCAACTTTCCAAGTTGGTCCAAGAGTATGCAGATGTATATGCGTGGGACGGGCCAGTCACTTGCCGAACAAATGTTACCTTGCATGACATTCATAACACGGAGGCACGCCCTATTCGACAACGACCACAACGGATACCTGTGGCGTATCATCAGGCAGTTGAGGAAGCCACTGCGGGTATGTTACTGAAGCAACACATCAAACCGTCGTCTTCCTCATGAGCATCACCTGCAGTTGTGTTGAGGTTCGACGATTCCCCAAGATTTCTCGTCGTTGGTTTCTGGCACTATTTACACTAATTCACAAACATATGTTGCATTACGCTTTTATCAGTTCAAAGTCAACCGTGACTCGAATTAGTTTCACTTTTGACAACCCACTCCACACGTGGCTGACGTGGTTAAAGCTCTCTACACGGCCTCCGGATCCTGAGAATATCCGCACTTTTCAACAAATGCCGACTCCCACATATGTTCCCTCACTGCGCTCCTTCTTCAGACTAATTAGCAACCATTCGGCTTTTCTACCGTTGATGCACAATGTCTGACCACCTCTGAATCACTTGCTTGCAAAGGATTTACCTTGGGTTTAGTCCAACGAGTGCGAGGCGGTATTCTGTCATCTCAAATCCATACTCGGTTTGGACCTGCTGCTGACCCATTATGATCCAAATCTACCAATTTTTGGTGCAGCTGATGACTTAGCCAAGGGCATCGGCGCCGTCATCGTCCACGTTTTTCCCGACGACATGGAAAAGGACATAATGCACGCATCCAGGTCGCTGACAACGACAGGACAGTATTATAGACAGATAGAGAAAGAAGCTCTCACTTTGGTTTCCGCTGTCCGTCGTTTCCACAAACTCATTCATGGCCAACGATTTACCCTGCTGACAGACCACAAGCAGCTGCTGTCAATGTTGGATCAAAAACAGGCATCTCAACTCACTCCGTGAACCGACTGCTAAGGTGGGCACTTATTCTACTGGGCTATGACTTCTAAATCCAGTACTGTCACACAGAGGATTTTGGGCAAGCAGACTCCCTTCCACAGCTCATCAGTAATCAGCCCACCACCAAGGAAGATGCCGTCATCGCCGCCGTCTACGTTGACAAAGGTATCACACAACAAGTATATCACACAGTTCGTGCGATGCCGGTTTCTATTCTCGACATCAAACAGGAAACGGCCTCGGACAATACACTACAGCAGGCCATCCGTTACGTACAAGGCAAATGGTCAAAACTCTTCCACAGGAGGTCTTTAACAGTTGTTCCGGCGGCGCAATTCCCTCTGCGTTATAGACTGCTGCTTAATGTTCGGAGAAAGCGTTGTGGTGCCGAAATCATTGCGCTTGCGGGTTCTTCCTCAATTTCATACCATTCATCCCAGCATCGGTCGCATGAAGTCTATCGCCCGCAGCTACGCTTACTGACCAAACATGGATCACCGAATCGCAGACCTAGTCAAGAGTTGCCGTCAATCTCAGCAGCCCGCCAAGAACCCTCCGAAGGTTCCTTCAGTCCCTTGGCCACAACCACACAAACCCTGGTCACGGATTCATGTCGACTTTGCGAGACCGATCAACGGAGTCTCGAACCTTGTGCCGGTGGACGCCTACTCAAAATGGCCAGAAATCTTTCCAATGGCTTCCCCCACAACAGCGAGAACACTACAGGCTCTATCCCAGATTTTCAGCCGCCAAGGGATTCCGGAAACCATTGTCTCAGACAACGGATCACAGTTCACATTTCAACAATTTCTTGAATTCTGTCCACAGCATGCTATTACAAACATGCATTCCCCACCCTACCACCCACAGTCAAACGGACAGACGGAAAGGTTCGTCGACACAGTGAAGCGAACCCTACTAAAATCCCGTGGGGAAGGAACGACGTCCGTCGAAAGCCTACAGAAGTTTCTGCTGGTGTATCGTAAAGCACCAAACGAGGCTCTACCAAGTCGACAGTCGCCATCTGAGGCACTCATTGGTCGCCGATTGCGGACAACAAATTCCGCTATGATTCCGGTACAAGACAACCGCCTGGAGCCTCCGAGTACGAAATCCACCGCTCAATTTGAGATTGTAACAGCCGTGAACGTTCGACCCATGGATCGAGGGACGATTGTACGCCGACACGGAAAGGTAAGGTTCAATGTGACGGCGGGTCACGACACGTTGTCTAGGCATCGCAACCAACTTTGATTGAGAAAAGAATCTGCGACACCAAATTGCCAGACCAGCGTCCCACAGGATGTGCTTTTCGACATTTTCCAGCTGCCGCCACCGACAGCAACGCTAGTGAAAACGAACAGAGATCAACGAGAAAAAGACAGTTCTTTACCTCCAAGGCAGAATAGTCGAAAACGACGGAACCAAACACTACTCCAAGTCGACCCAAAGAAGAAGCGTTACTAGGTTTTCAAGGAAAAGAGGTGTTGGGGATCGACGATTCCCCAAGATTGCTCGTCGTTGGTTTCTGGCACTATTTACACTAATTCACAAACATATGTTGCATTACGCTTTTATCAGGTCAAAGTCAACCGTGACTCGAATTAGTTGTATTTTTGACAACCCACTCCGCACGTGGCTGACGTGGTTAAAGCCCTCTACACGAGCTCCGGTCTTGTTCTTGCATTGGCGTGGAACGATCGGTGTTAGCATCAACAAGGGATCTGGTACCGTTATTTGAGTTGTGTTTTCTTTGTTACGGCCAAACGTAACAAGTTGTCAAAAAGAAAAACGGTACCATTAGGTTATGTGCAGACTATAGGAAACTCAATGAAGTCACGGTAAAATGTAGCTCTCCAGTCCGCGGATGGATGTCACGCTAGACGCCTTACGAGTGTCAACGTCGCTCTCTACTTTGGATCTTATGTCAAGTCGCCGACAAGTTGAGATCAATCCAACCCATCGTGAGAAGACGGCGTTTGCAATTCCATCCGGGTTATATGGATTCGAGACTATGCACTTCGGCCTAGCTAATGTTGCGGCAACGTTTCAACGACTAATGAGCACAGTCCTCCGTGGCCTAGTACCGCATGAGTGCTTGGTTTATATGGACGACGTAATCGTTCACGCAAAAGATATCAAGTAGTGCATTAGAAGGTTACGTTATGTCTTTGAACGACTTCGTGGGGCGGGACTTAAGCTTAACACACAGAAATGCACGCTAAACAAAAAGAGGGTTAAGTTTTTGGGCCACGTTGTCTCTAAGGCAGGCTAAGGAACGGATCCCGATAAAACGGAGAAGGTTAGGACAAGGCCGACACCAACCAATGTAGAACAGCTACGGAGTTTTCTAGGACTGGCAACGTACCACCGTAAGTTTGTCAAAGGGTTTGCCTATATTGCGTCACCATTGCACAAACTTACGGAGAAAAACAACAATCCCGGGAATGGACGGATCATTGTCAGCAGGCATTCTGCGACCTCGAAGCTTGTCTGGTCACGGCTCCAGTACTTGCCTTTCCCAATGTGGGAAAGGATCACCCTCCATTCATTTTGGACACGGACGCGTCAGACAAGGTGATTGGGGCGGTACTTTCGCAGGTCCAACCCGATGGCTCAGAACACCCTTTAGCATTGTCGAAGGCTGAGCACAATTGATGCACTACTAAACGCGAAATGCTGGCCTTAAAGTTTTTCTTAGAGCACTTTAAGCACTACCTTTTAGGTAACGAGATTGTGGTGCATACGAACCATCAGGCTCTGAGGTGGTTGCATAACTTTAAGAAAACTTCAGGCATCATTGCGAGGTGGCTTGAGGTACTGAGCCAGTTCAACTATAGTGTTGAGTATCGCACTGGGAAGAAGCACGAAAGCACCGATGCGTTATCTAGGAGTCCGGAACTTATGACAGACATAGCTGCCATTTCTGTGGAACAGACTACAGACGAGAATTGGGGCGCGGCACAAGTGGAAGACTTATATAAGCCTTATATACAGTAGGCAGCGCACGGGCTCTCCTAAGTCTGCAGACAAGGAAATAACTTCTGTAAATACTGATATTACAGGACCCAAAGACTAGTGGCAACACCACAAAATGGCTCTCCAAATCGCAGTTGCTCTTCGAAGTTTCTAATGCACCTACATATTTGGTGTTATTCTGAGTATATTTCAGACCGAAATAACTGAGATGGGGATGGATTTGAGCCCAAAAAACGACCCTATCGCTTTCGATGCCAAGAGAAACTTGTTGGGGACCCAGCATTCCCCAAGACAACTCATCGCGGGTTAGGATTTTGTCATTGTATACACAATTTCCCCAACCACGCCACTCCAGTGGGTGAGTCAACCACGACACCCTACTGACAGCCCCATCTGTGTTAATCCGCTTTATCCATCAAGTCAAGGTCACCCTTGACTTATATAAGTGGATACAGTCTAAAAGATCACTCGGCCTTTGGCTGAGGCATTAAAAGCTCTCTGCATGAGGCCCTGTCTTGTCTCGCATTAACGTGGGTAGGTGTGGGGGCTAGTGTCTGATTAGGGATCCGGCGCAACGATTATCTGAGGAAGTCCGTGGCTTTGGTTACCGGCAAAACGTAACAGAACTATCTAACAGTACGACAGTTCCTGCATTTTGTTGATGCAAAACGCATTCAAAAGGTGGTTACGTACGATGACATCACAAAACTGTGCTAGATTCCGCCATTTCAAATCTTTTAAAATTAATTCATGACAATGAATCCTCCCCTTAACTGGCTAAAGGTGTTGAATCAACAGCTCGAACATCTACTACGTGAATGAAACTATTGGGGAGAACGTGCGGCTTTCGTGCACATCATCACTGTGCGGCAGATGGATTTAGACAAAATTTCGCACCCTTTAACTTTTACACGGATTACCATACTTACTAAATATTAAACACAAATACTACATATTGACGAACCTTTAGTGTTGAAAATTATCACGACTGAGTTGGCTAAATTTGATTATCTCTTCCAATTGCTTCCTTATTTTTCACATACATGACACTAATTGGACAATTCTTATTGATCTTTATGACTGGAGAAATCCAAACCATTTCGCTTCTACAGGGGCAATGTACGAAAAACAGCAACTTAAAAATTACAGAAACTGGTAGTTACAAATCACGAACCACGACTCCATGCTAGACGAAGCCTGTGCTTAACTATCACGATCTCGCCGTACTTTCCAGCTGGGCATATTGAAATATTAACATTGGTATAATATTTGCTTTGGCCACGAACATGTTAATGTTAGCGTGGCCAAAGTAAAGGCTCATTCCATAGATATTTAGTG